TACTATGTAAGACCAGACAGACGATCGGTTATCCCAGGCATCTCCAGGTGAGCTTCACTCTTTAAATGTGCTTTGCATTGCACTGTGTTGAACTGTCTTAGTAACTTGAAAAGTAACTACTGATTGCACTGTTTATCAACCTATCATCGGACATGTGCGTATTAAATCTATTATGAACCCATACGCATGCAAAAATATCTTTTGCATTTAACTTTTATAAATGCCATAATGCAAATGAAATTTATCAAAAATATTTTTTAGAATGCAATGATGAGTTCCAAGATGTTGTTGTCTTTTCCATGAAAAAGATGCTAAATGGAGCCAAAAGTCTGCATGACAAGCCTTGCCAGGTATGGAGCCAGAGGACTATAAAGGATATCCTGTGGTGGTGAGCAAAGTTGGTAAAGAGCAGCAATGATAGCCTGGCAGTTGAAGATATGCTTTGGCGTTAATTGGGTTCGTGGGCAATTATGCATATGGGGTAGATCTTAAGTTATCTCCTTACAGGCCCTCGCAGGAGTCTGTAACCCTAGAGGGTCGTCCCCATGTGGTGGATAGGAGAATGCCTCCACTGGTTTTCAGTAAGTGGTAGAAGAAAAATACAATACCTTCCTTGGACCAACAGGTAGAAGTGCAATGACCCCCTTTTTCTATGGACTGTGAATTTAATGCAGCAAGCGAGTTCTACGATTAAAACACAAAGTCTCTTCATACCAATCCATCAAATGTATTTTGTGATATGTACAGCAGCAATATAAAACCTTATACCCACATTTATTTCAGACCTCAAATATTTAACAGCTTAGCTTGCCTGGAAATTTGGTCCATGGGATACTAGAGAATGGGTTATCAGATGGCAGCATTTTGCAGAATCATAAAGATCCAGATCATCATATATTCAAACGCTCATCCATCCAAGAATTGAACTGGGTTTCCTAGCTTCTCTTGATCATCCATCAGAGGAAGATTTCTTTCCAGAGGGAAAGTACTTCATCTATAAATTTTAAAGTTTTCGAACTTTAGATACAATTCCTTCAAATGATTTGTGTTATTTTAAGGCAGCACATGTTTACAGAGAAGCTAAAATCCTTTGCAGTCCAAACAGGCTGCACGATATAAAAAAAAAACAACTGGATATGCAAACCAAGAACACTTCTCCTCACCATTTGGAAAACAATGAAGGCAGTGATAAACACTAAAAAAATACCCTGATTTATGCCTGTCAAAAATATCAAGTCCTCCTCAATAAATATGTGATCTTCTTAACTAATTCTTAAATTACTTTGCACAGTCACTGGTCAAGTTTTTAAATCTCTTGAATACATATTCAGAAGAATTAAATTTTTCCAGTTTTTCTTCTACTTCTTGCAGAAGATTTGGTCATAAGAGGCAAAATAACTAACCAAACAGTTATTTTATCTCTTATGACCAAATATGAAATCGCTTCAGTTGTTTCATCCATTTTCCCCATGTTTATGTTTTCTCCTAATAAACTGTTCTGTATTTACAAACTCTGTTACAATATCTTATGCACCCTCTTTGTCCCTTGAAAATGAAAAATTTTTACCAGTCAGTGTGTCGCAGTTTTATCACTTTATTTGATAACTTATTTTATTACATTGTTTAGTTAGTCTCATTGCCATTTTGCATTTTCTTTAAAAAATTTCTCAATTTATTTTCTTGTGATGATGTTTTCTTCAATAAATCCACCTTATTCTTTCTAGAATATTTTCACTTTGATTGATGTGTGAACAGAAACTTGCATTGAACGGAGACACTATGCAGACAGAAACTATATGAAACAGAAATTCAGGATGGATAAATATATCCCTATGTTCACATAAATAATTATATGGAACTGGTCCCATTTAGAATTTCTTCAGTTACTGAAAAAAAAATCTAGATTAAAAAAAGCCTGCCTATGTACAGCTATAATACACGTCAAATCTCTATATGAAAAAGATTTCTGAGCTCTATATTTGTAGTCAGTTGAACTTGAGAACATTAGTTATAGAAGAAAATTATAATGTCTATCAAAGAATATTATTCTTTTGTTTCTAGTAAGGTATTTTAGAAATTATGTAATGAAATATGAATTGTGCAAAACAGAACAAGGTAGCTCAAAGACAGAATATGACTTCTCTATCTCTATTTTTGGTGATCACCAAATGAGATTCCGTGTTCCGCATATATGAACAACCTAAAAACTGCAGAAGCCCCAAATATTCTCCTGCTGTTCTCACAAAAAGCAATTACATAAGTAACACATTCCATATATAAAGAAAGAGCAGCAGTTTCCACTAGGCATCTGCACAACAAAGAATTGCCAACAGCCAAGTTGGCATGGCCCTGTTCTCTGAGATTTTAGATTTCCAGAAATTACAGTAAAAATCTGCTGTTTTAGTGAGAAATTCAACCTACTTTCATCATATTTATATATGCTTGCTATACAGAGGTCCTCATATCTCTCACAAAGTTGCACAGAAATGCAATGCAATTAATGATAAGTACTGTCCAGATTTGCAGTAAATGTACAAAAATTATATGGAGTCCTTAAAATGGGTCTGACCATAAACACAGATCTCTAAATCCCAGTTTGATGCCCATACGAATAAGCCAAAGCAACCTTAATTATTCAAATATAATTTTAAAGTATGTTAATTATTCTCAAGTATATTTTTGCAAGTTACAGGTTTATTAGATAGCTCTTTAACTAATTACTCCATATAAACAGGTAGAAATTTACAATTTTTGGTAACCAAAAACAATACGCAACAAAATTTACAGCTAAAAATAATTCAAAGAGAATGCAGATATTAAACAAATCCTCCTTAAAACATGAGAAATATTGCATACTCCCAATATCACTCACAGAGTAAATTTTGAAATATAACTCAGCTAATGCTTCTTGAAATATAACTCAGCTAACAACAACTGATGGCTGTAGAAGTTGTATTTATATGATGCAGTGCAAGCTTTCAGAAGCTTTGGTATTCTAGCTGAGCTAATTTCATAATGTAAATAAATGTTGTTAGGATTCAAAATCGGAGAATCTATAATTCCATAATGCTATTATGAATTTTGCATTTAGTTAGATGTTTTTAACAGAATTATAATTTAAAATTGTTTTATTTCCCTGTGCAATGCAGCACGCAACATATTTTAAGAGAAAGCTATGCTGAAAAAGTAAAAATACACTGTAATTGATATTTGATTTGGATAAATATAATTGACTAGTATGTTAGCTATAACTGTAATTCTGCTCTTTTTGCTTTCCAGAAATTGCTAAACTCTTTCGTGCAGTTGATTTAAAAAGCTATAAAAGCCGGGGGCAAACATCTCCGCTAAATAATTGTTAGATAACTGTTGTTTGTTGACTGTAGCGAATTTCGGGTGAGCTCAGTTTAGCTTTCTCTACACTTTGGTTTGTGTTCTATTTAATATTTTAGTGGTTTAAAATATAGCTACTGTTTATATTGTGTGGTATTGTACGAATATCTTTGAGGAATACTCCAGCGTTTTGTTATATTTCTTGTGATTAGAATAAATTTTATTAACTTTTTATCAGACTTGTGCATTCAATCTATTATGAAACCGTATGCACACAACAATACTAACAGTAACTAACAGTAATACGAAACGTGCGGACACAAATTCAATTACACATAAAAATATATCATAAATTATAACTATAAATGCAACAAATTAAACAAAGAAATAAAACAATACACAAAAGCAATAATGTAATTTTAAGTAAAGCATATAAGGAATATACAGTCAAAAGTCGTTAATTCGGACACCCATAATCCGGAATGATCTATAATCCGGACCTCAAACCTACAAACTTCCTGCGCATGCGTCACATTGATGAATGCGCATAAGACCTTTATGGCTGCACATATGCGTGTGCGCATAATACGTTTATGCATGCGCGTTTAATGTATAATGGACGGTATAAGCTAAAATTACCTAACTATCTATTTCAGTTAATGTTGCAGATTGCGTTGTTCCTTAATCTTCGAATTGGATCCGGCTTATTATTTTTTGCAGACTGTTAGAGCAATTTTATAAAAGTAAGCTTGAACTTTCGATTATGTCAAATAGAATTTCCGATGCTGGAGCTCCCAAAGGATCTACAAAGTGAAAGTATGTTTCGATGTCCATCAAACAAAAAGTGAAATTGCTGCAAAAAAACAGTTAAAGGCATATCCTTTGTTTCTCTAACCATTGCAAAATCTGTTTATCAATTTCATGCCGCTCTGCGGCAGGGGGCAAAGGAACGCCATGGCACGCAATGAATTGAAAGTTACATTTCCACTGTCAGCACTATCCTTATCTTCAGGGCAGATGTTTTTATTTTATTTGGCTTATAATTCCTTACTAAATGTAGTATTTCATTTCGATGTACTCCGTCTTTGATATGATTTAAATCAAATTCCTCGTCATTATAATTTGCTTCCGATAGTGAAGAAAGTGACACAGAGGTTATTGAAAACGAAAAAATTTCGATTGACAAATTAGTCGGTATTCTCGACACAGCAATTATAGGACTTGAACAGTGGAACTTTGTAACTGAAAAAGAAATTATGTCTGTTTATAGAATTAAAGAGAAAGTGTTATCACATAAAATGAAGCAACTTAAACAACTTACATTGAAAGAAATGTTTAATAAAGTAAACAAATAAATATTAAGCTTTTTTTTTTTTTTTTTTTTTTTTTTTTTTTTTTTTTTTTTTGTAAATTTTGATACCCTTTAGTTCATAATTGTTCTTTATTTCATAAATTACGGTTTCATATTTTTAATTTTATAATTTCTGCATGCCATCTTACCAGATTTAAACTGATGATCTATAATCCGGAAAAATCGATAAACCGGAATCACCAAAGTCCCAACGAGTCCAGATTAACGACTTTTGACTGTATAAAGAAACATATAAACATAACATAAAAAGAAACTTATAATAATATGTATAAAAAGCTTTCAGAACAAAAATAAAAACCTGCTGCATTGGTAGAATGGCCATTTGTTTGATGTAATTGCACAGGTTCTACAGAGCTATGCAACCCTTGTGCAGCTAATCCAGGCTGCATATGTGGTGGAAACTGAGCAGGAACAGAATATGGAGGATGAGGATATAAATAGAAAGGGGCAGATCCACTCAGTGGAGAAGTTACATTTCCATTACCAGATCCATTCTACAAAAGATAAAGTAGGTATGATTAAGTTTTAATCATAAAATTACAGATATAATTTCAATTATAAACAGCTCGTATTTTTTTTAAAAATCAAAATTCCTTTAACGTTCTAGATTCACTTATAATAATAGATTCACTTATAACACAGCATTTATTAAAAATCAACTTATCTCTATTATTTTTGTCTATACAATAACTATATCTCTATTATTTGTATCTACACAATAACTATATCTCTACTATTTTACACAGCATTTATTACCCATCAATTTATCTCTGTCATTTTTATCTATATTCCTATTTGTTTTTACGCTTCTAGATCTTATGGTTTCTAGACCCTTTAAAATATATATATATATATACAGGGTGTTTATAAAGTCCCGGACCCACTTTGATGTTTAATAACTCATAAAATAATAAAGATAGATTAAAATTAATAACATAAATGGTTAGATAGACTCAAAAAGTTTCATGACCCTTGTGAAAGAACTTCCACATGTGCCCCCTTCGTCGCACGGAGAATATCAAGTCGATATTCAATTTCACGGCAGGTACCGGCAAGCATGTTGGCATCCACAGAGGCTATAGTGGTTGTAATTCTGGCTTTTAGGTCATCAATGTTCGACACTCTCCTCCTGTAAACTTTGTCCTTTACAAATCCCTAAAGGACAAAGTCCAGCGGCGTTATCAGGTGATCTGGGTGGCCAAGGAATTCGATCTCCTCGCCCAATCCAACTTCCTGTAAAATGCTCATTCAAGAACTACAAACAATAGTAGTACCCCAATGTGGTGGAGCACCATCTTGTTGCAAAAAGACATGCGGCTGAAGCTCTTCTAGTTGTGGAAATACGAAGTTTTCCAACATGTCTAAGTATATGACTGATGAGACCGTCTTTTCTGTAAAAAAGAAAGGCCCAAAGACTCGGTCGTGCATTAGTCAACACCACACATTAACCTTTGGAGAATCCCTTTGAGCCTCACGATATTCATGGGGGTTTTCAGATCCCCATGTGCACACATTATGGCGATTAACAATGCCAGAAAGATGCCAAAAACAAAAGAGAGAAAAATGTAATTAATAAGCAGACGATATTTAGAAAAGTACACATATTTAGACTGGAAAATGAAATTATCTGAAATTAAACACACGCGCAGACGATATTTACAAAAGTAAAGATCTTCAAACCTGAAAAAGAAAATATATAAGTTATTCCATCAATAAATGCCATAACTTTGTTTATATCTTTATTATTTTATGAGTTATTAAACATCAAAATGGGTTCGGGACTTTATAAACACCCTGTATATCCAATAAACCTTTTATGAAAAGATAATTTTGTAGAAATCTGAAAAGGATCTTAAAATTTTACTTTGGTTTAAAAGTCTGACCGTAATTCTAAATGAATACCATTTGAAAATTCACAAATAATTTATGTCAACTGAAAATGAAATCATAAATGTATTAACATACAGTAGATTTTTCCAGAATTTTTTAAGTCTATTTATAAATTCTTGCATAAAAATAGAAAGCAAAAATGTCCTTAATTGTTTCCTATTGTTGTGGATAAAACATTAGTTTTATTTTTCCTGGAAGATAAAATTATTACTCACACTAACTCACCTTTCAATTTAGATTTCATTGAAACTTTGCAAATCTTTTTACACAATAAAATGCATTACACAATAATCTGCATTAGATTACAAATTGATGGGTAATAAATGCTGTGTAAAATAGTAGAGATATAGTTATTGTGTAGATACAAATAATAATTAGGGACTTTTTGCAGCAATTTATAAAGCAGCAATGGAATAGCTGCTTTATAAATTCTTCTATAAAAATAGAAAGCAAAAAGGTCCCTAATTGTTTCCTACTGTTGTGGATAAAACAATTTTATTTTTCCTGGAAGATAAAATTATTACTCACACTAATTCACCTTTCAATTTAGATTTCATTGAAGCTTTGCAAATCTTTTTACACGATAATCTGATCAATGGAATACCTACTATTCCACTGCTATTGGAGATAACGAAAAACCTATTCAGAGTTTCTCTTCCTTCTTCAACCTCATATTCCAATTTGTATATATGAAACTATAGCTTATGAAGTGTTTATCATAACAACAATGCTTTGACAATGTTGGACTAGTTCTGATAAAACTGCACTCGGCAATACTTTCATCTTTATTTATGCCAATTTTTATGTTCAACTACCTTTGGTTTGTTTGACAATAAACTAATTATCTCATAATAAACTAAACATTAAATTAAGTATGAATAATTTAATACATTTACCAAGAAATACAATGAAACTATTAACAATATTATAAATATACATTTATCTTTATTATTTTTAAGCTAATGAGAGAAATATTCATTTAAATTACTCAAGTGAGTATTTTTTGAAAAAAAATATCAAACTCTAAAAATTTGTCATTCTGCAAAAGAAACTTGTTGCAATACACATTCATAAATATTTCTCCTTTAGTATTTTAGAATACAACTCAGCAGCTAAGAAAGAAATTGGATTTAAAGAAGCGTTTACTTAATACAGTTTTGATTACAACATACATAATGTGATGATTTCCCTACTACATTATTTATATTTGAAATGTAGTAAATGACTTCTTTAATGCATTATCCTGCAAAGGCATAAAAATACACTATAAAATGTAGAAATACATACAAATATTTAATTTTGACTACCAGTTAACTCAAACTCTATCTAGATAAAAAGATTTGCAATTTTTTATTGGTATTATTTCATGTTTATTTTCAGTGGTTCATTGAATACAAGTTATAAATAAAAAAAAAAAATTATTAAATTTTAAACAATAGGATGAAAAGTTTAAACTGAAGTATCAAAATGGAAATTCTTCATAAATTACCCTATAAGTTCTAAACAAGGCATAAAGGGACCACAAAGAAATGTTTACAACTATCAAGGCCCCATTGAATGACTACAACATGCATTTAAAAGAGGGGGGGAATTTTTTTTTTTTTTAAGCATTACACTTCCACAGATAAATATATAAAATAAATAATATAAAGAAAATAGTTCTTCAAAAAACATAAATAAATAAAAGCTGACTGAAATCTTATTTGCGATATCAGTTTTCAAGCATGGGAAATGAGATCGGTGAAAGCTACAAACTAAATATTTTTACTCTTAAAATACAAGTTTTATGCAAAAATATCAAAATTTAATAGGCAAATTTTAAAAACGACGATGCTTATGGCATAATTCGCACGAAGGAAGCTTTTTAGGAAATTCAAAAGGCAAAAATAAAACGAAAACTACCATTAAAATCATATTTATTACAATTCTCAGAATGTTATATTTTCCATATACTTCATATAAATCTATACCTTTAGTACAATTTCCTTAAGGATTCGTTAAAATTGAGAGATGGTCGATAATTACACATCTGCTAGATAACATATAATAAACGTCAACATGTCAGAAAAACTACGTGTATTTATTTATCAACTCAGCTGTCGTTTAGACAGTTACATTGAGTTGAGTTGTTTGCATCTTTCTCTACTGCATTGCGCATTCCCAGACGAATTTAACTGAATTATCAATATTTATATTAACAGGAAAAAAAGATAGGGGCTTTCTTCTGGAGGACAGCTCCAGGACTCGCATTATATACCTTTGAATTTCAAAATAATGTAAATGTAGACATCAGTAACTTATTTATATGGATAAAACTTTCAAAATTTATGTCATAAATTTTGCCATTCGTTTATCGTCATTATAAAAAAATAACTTTAAAAAAGTAAAATGTTAAATAAGCTTTCAGGCAGTGTGCCAATAACAGTAGACACAACATGCTTTTCCTCTAAAGTTACGAAATTTTTTAAGCAATTAATATGCAGTACGAGTCTATTTTCGGTAAACGTAATTCAGTTTCAAAAATAACAGTGTTACTGCATTCAGTTTGACACACAACGTGTCTGAAAAGTGATTGTACGTTTTTATTTTCCGAAAATAAGGTCAAAAATTTTAAATGCATTTAACTGAAAGTATAAAGCGTGTTTTCTTTTTAAATGCGCAGTTAACCTAATTTTCTTTTCTGTTTCACGGGGAAATACACCTGGGTACCCAGGCCGAATCTATTGCCCCTATGGAACAAAATTAAAAAATTACCAATGAGATACATTCTGATGACCTCATTGATCACGTGACTTATATATACCTTTTGTAAACAAACGATGCAGATGACCTCAGAGATCACGTGACTTATGTACAGCTAATGCAAACAAGCAAGGTCATTCTTCCTCTTCTCTTGCCGAAAAATATCGTATTCTGTGAGCATTAACACAAAAAAAAATTTCTAAATTTAAAAAAAGAAGAAGAAATTGAGCTATATGAAGAGATTTAAGTAACAAGTTACATAACAAATTTTGTATAATTTTCTTTTCATACTAAATATTTTTTTTCACGAACAGATAGCTCGAACATTCACATTAGAACTACCAGCAAGCTGGAAAATCCTGCAACATGAATAATCTGACATTCACTGTTCTAATAAGATCAGATATTTACTGTTCGGAAAATTAAAAAAAAAAAAATTACATTTCATAAAATGGTTATTATTTTGTTAGAATGTTATCAGCTTTAAAATACGGCTTACTTGTCCATTCAAATCAGAATTTTCATTACATCTACATAATTTTTCTTAACTCATCTAACTTAAGTTCCTGTTTTAAAGTAATATTCTATTTCTCGAATTTTTTATTTTCTCATCTATTTTAAGTTTCTGTTTAAAGCAATATTTTGTTTTTCGTATTTTATATCCTGTTTATTATTTATTTCAATTCTAGCTCACAGCTAATTCAGTTCACCTCCACACACGGGCTCAAGAGCACCCCATCCTGACAAACATGGTGGCTGCATGATTGTTTTACTGCATTTTTTCCAATTGTTACGTGAAAATCTTCCATGAAAATATGTTTTCGCTTACGCAGGCTAAGAGCCCTCACGTACTTTGCCATAA